TATCACTACAGAAGTAGATTGCCCAACCTTCCTTCCGAGGAGTGGCTGGTGGGTTTGAACCAACAGCCTTCTGGTTAGCAGTCAAATGCCTTAGGCACTGGGACACCAGAGTTCCTTAGGTCTTGATTGGTGGGAAATAATACTTGCTTCACATTAGGGTATTTCATCTTTCTTTTTTAAAATTAACGCACTCTTTTTACAAATTCTAGGAAAGAATTAGGCTGCTGTATTTTCAAGTCTGTATAATTGCCCCTAATTAGTAATGCATGAATTGGAAATAAGTTAATTAAATTTAGAAAGTTTTATTTCAATATTGGTAATTTCCATAGCTCATTTGGCCTATTACTTAAGACTTTTCTTTTATAGTACTAACACTTTTAGTTTATTCAAAATGTGATCAATTTTTGAAAACCAAACAAAATTGCCCTCAGATAGAAGCTCATTTGATGTCTGTGTGATGAAACTAATAGACTGAAGTTTTTATTATTAAATTTTTACACTACAGGTTCATCACAGCTTAAGAATTTGAAAGTATTTCCAGGACCTGGCTTGTGCCATTGCAATTTCATTGCCCTAGCCATTTAGATATTCCTCTATTAAGATTTGTAAATTTGGCTTACAGATTAACTCTAAAGATATGAAGACAAGCACACTCATAAACACGTGAATGATCCAATAAACGGGCAACAAAAAGTCCTACCGAGCTAGGCAAAAGCATTATTTCTTCCTTGTTGAAGGTATCAGCATATGCTACATCTTATGTTGCACAAGTGTACTCATTAAATATTATGAAATGTACAGCAGGCCTGGAAGCTCTAACTAGCTAGTCAAAGTCACTCATACCTGTGTGTTCATATTTATGTCGCAGAAGGGAACTGCTTTTCTGGAATGTCTTGTCACATAAGTCACATGCATACATGCCACTCTCTGTCTTCTTGATCTTCTTTCGAGACAGACAGGAATCGGAGTCTGTCATGTCATCTAGGCCTGACATGTAGTCTTGTGTTCCATCAAGCAATTCTCCCTGTGATATAATCACATAGTTCAACACAGTCTCTTCTCTTTGTGTTTACACCAAACAACTTCGCATATGCTGACATTTGGAGAACCTCAAAAGTTGATTGCTATTAATTGATCTAATTTTTAATAATTAGTATTTTCCATGAACAATATATGAGGTCTCACATTTCAACAAAAATAAAAACTTATCTGCCCTAGATGGGAGAGCTAACTATTTTTCCAAGAAAACAGACAACCTTAAAGGTGAGAAAAATATACATTTTCTTAAAATCCTTTAGTTTCTTTATACCGGGAAAGATACATGAGTGAAAATTAAAGATCTGAATTTGTGTATTTTTTGGTGTGCTTAACTTTTGAAATGATCTGTAGCTGTAGAAACCTCATTTTAATTGAATTTTATATTTAGGTACAAAATGTTATTATTATGCAATCTATTTAAATGTATGTCTACCAACTGAAGGCCTCGAGCTATATTTTTATATTTAATTTTCTAATTTGAAATAGGGAATATTAATAACACTTTTTATCAATGTTCTATCTATGTTAAAACAGCCTTCAGCATTAAGCAATAATGAATGTGGATCAGTAAATTATTAAATTTCTTGATATTTATTTTGTCTTGATCCAAAGGAGTGCAAACTTGCATGATAACATACATTTCCATTTGCTAGCCCACAGTTCAGTTTTCTTAGACTATGTTTGCACTAATTAATATTAGAGAAGATTAAATAGGCTTAAATACATTTACAAAGAGGGTGGATGTACTATAAATTGAAATACTGGAACAGCTGTTACCAAGGTACACTGCTACTTATGCTTCTATTTTGCAAACAGGGATTATGTGTTATAATGTTAAAACATACCTGTATTTTGTATTTGAAAAACTATACATTATTTATTAGTTTGAAAATTACAAGAGAAGTCATGTGGAATGCACAAGTTTTTAGAAAAATCCTTTTGAACTATTCTCTCTTAAAATATATTACATTGATGTGTATATATTTATATTTCATACTAAATTTAGACATGAATCCCAACAAATGTTATCATTGTATAATTTCAAAAGCTGATGAATCAATCTAAATGCATCTCAAAAACAAATAATTGATTTATTCTTTATCTTTTTTAAAGCAAATGTGCTTACATAGTACAATATTTCATCCTTTCATCCATTTATTTTTCTAGCTCACTCAGTTCTAAGTACAAGTTAAAATAAACTCTTCTGTTTCTCCTGAAAACACAGTACTTCATTTTTTCTCTAATATTTTTTTCCTGCAAGCACATAAGCTATATAATTTTCATCTCCTCTAGTCAGAGCAAAACGATGTGTCTCATTACCTGAAATCCTTGTTTCCGCTGGTACTTCCTCCTTTGCTGCATATCAGCAAAAGTAGCTGCTCCAGTTGGGTAGGTATAGGCCATATGTGGTAGGAAGCTCATCTGATCCAGTCCTGGATATGGTCGTAGCCCTGGGATACTGGTCTGGACTGGTGGCATGAAAGTGGCAGGGGGAAATGCGCTTTGTGGTGGAAGAGCTGTGTATAAAGGTTTGGCACTAAATGGGTTCATGCCGAACACTGGATTAGTGCTTTTGTTGTCCAGGTTATTTGAATTTGAAAACTCCTTCTTGATGAAAGTCAAGTTTAGAGGCTCATCCGAATTTTCAGATGATGAAGAAACACTGTTATGGTCTAAATTAATGCTGCTAGCTTTTGTTTTGTTCTTTGTGGCTATAATACTTTTGGGTTCTTTCATTTGTTTTGGTAATGACAAGTCCAAAGGCTCAGCCTGGAGCTCCTCAGAAGAGAAGCTGTTTGGAGTGTAAGAACTACTGTGGGAGTTTTTAGAAGATGTGGAGGAAAGATTTAAGGGAGAAGGAGTATTACTCCTTGAGTGGTCCAATTTTTCAACTGGTTTAATATTGGTAAAATGGGAAGGTTTTGTTAGCCTGAGTGGTGGATCACAATTTGTAACACTGTTATGGAGTTCTGCTATAGATGGTGATGTTATGGAGTCCATAGGTTTTACTGGAGACCTGGGTAATAAAGAGTCTTTTGTGGGAGGGTTATTGTTGGGAGCTAATGGCTTGGAGTTCCTTTCCAGTGATGGTGACCTGGAATTTGAATACTGGTAGACTTTTCGTTGCTCAAACCATTCCTTCACAAATTCCTGAGGAAGGCCCACAGCAATGGAAATTTTCAGCAGTTCATCAGAGTTGGGCTCCATGTTCATAGCATAATATGCTTTAAGTACAGACATGTGGTCCTTGTATGGGTTGATGGGGCTTGTCATTCCTTTCTCAGAAAGTACAGATGACAAGAGGAGGGCTTTATTATCAACAAAAACTCCAGCTTTGTTGGGGACTATGTTTTCATGAGGTTGCAGGACTGCCTTGATTTCTTCATTCATCTTACAAAGGTAACGTTCATGCTGATGCAAGGGAATGGGGCCAGGAAAACTTTCTTTACAGAACTGGCATGAAAATGGCGTGGATATGTTATGGTTCTCAATCATTTTATCATCCGTGACCAAATCTATTAAAGTACGTAGCTTCTCTTTCTTTATGTTACTGATCTGTCTCCTTGAGTCAGTAGTCAAGCTCTGGAGGCAAGCTTTGGCTTCATTGACTTTCTCTAATGTATAGTCAATAATACTTTTAGTGGCACCATTATGACTCACTACCGGAAGCCCTACGGGTGGAATATTAGGAGAAGTAACTACTTGTTCCTCGGGTTGAGAGCATGGATCCTTCATGTGATAACCTTTCAACTTTGAAATTTCTTCCACCTTGCAGTCCATTTTTTGCCTGGAAACCGTATTGTCCACAATCTGTAGAACCTTTTGTACCTCACTTAAATTACTATTCATTGTGGGAAATCCAAGTAAAGGGGCTTCCATCCCTACACCTAAGTGCTGCATTGGACTTTGAGCAGACGGATGAACTCCTAAAGGGCTGGTTGCTCCAAGTCCACCATTCATAAAGGGACTAGTGCCACTAAACCCATGTGTGGCCATAAGAACTTTATAGTCATTGAAGTCTAGTGGTTCTGTTTTAATTTTAAGTAAGCCTGTTTGTTCAGACATACTAAGTGGTTTTCCATTCTCCAATTTGTTTCTTAACTGGGTAATGGCTGAGTTTGTAGGAGAAGAAGAAACAGAATTAGGGGAAGAACCCGTCTTGATATTGTTTCTCATTCGGCCATTTACAGAGATTAAACCAATGCATTTCTTGCTGCTGATGTGCGAACTGTAGGAACCAGAATGGGAGAAACGTTTCTTGCAGTTTGGGCACTCATATGGTTTTTCACCTAAAATGATAATTAGAATTACCATTACATGTCTTTGTTTAGGTAACAATTGCATTTGTCTACCAAGACAAGAATCTGTGAAACTAAATGAAAGCATCACAATGGGGCACCTCTATAAACTGGGTGCTTAGATTAGAATTATTTGACCATAACTGTTTCTGGGCTTTATCTACTCTGAAAGCACATAATTCAAGATGTTAGCAGTGGGAGGTGAGTGCTATCTATGCCTTTTTCAGCCAAGATCCCAAATCTTGTCTTGCCATCGGCAGCCTCCCATTTAAACAGTGTCAGATTAATGTGTGGTCAATAGCACAATAAAGATGTCACAGTATTTAAAGGGAAGTGCAGCCATGTCTTTAATCAACTCTGTGTAGATTCCATTGATACTACCAATCCAACTAGTCCTTTGAATAGCATCCAATTTGGTAATAAAATGCTTGGCAGAGCTATCAAACTAGTTATAAAGAAGAAATCTCAGTTGCAAGATGCTTGTTTTGTAATATGTAGCTCTCAGAAATAAGGGACATTTATCATAGACAAGCTCCTATCCAAAATTTGTCAACTTTTTCTTTCATGGTTGGGTACCAAAAATGAATTTCCTTCAGAATTTGCCAGTTGAATTTCCTCAGATCAAAACTGCTTAATCAGTAGGAGGGTTTTTTTAAAAAAGGAGCCTCTAGGTTTGGTAATAAATCAAAGCATTTGTAGTTTTTTAAGCAGTATAAGTATTCCTTCTTTTTATAAGACAGAGCTACTGGTGGTACTATAAATCTCACAAGGACACATCAGGTATCCATAGGCTATGAAATAAATTAGTAGCTCCAAAAAAGCAACAAACAGAACTGTGTAAATTTTAAATAATCTTTAATAATTGCTCTAATTGAAGAAGATGCAAATGCAAACATGAGCACCTCTGCTACTCACCACTGTGAATTCGCAGGTGTTCTTTTAGATGGTGTTTATATTTGAAGGCCTTGCCACACTCTGTGCATTTGAACTTGCGATTACCTGCTCCTTGGGTCAGCATTTGGTGCTATAAAAGGAAAAAGACTAACATCAGTTTTGTGCAGGAGGAACAAAGAAAATTTGTTACAAATATTTTAACCAGCCTCTATTTTTCAGATAGGCCAAAAGGTTTGAGTGCATGTTTATTTATCTGCCCAGTCTTTCAGAGTTGCAATAAAAGTGATAATGTTGGCAATAAAATTGGAATTAAAAAAAAAAAAAAAGTGCTTTCATATGCGCAACCAACACTTGCTTTAGAATTATTTCTGGAGTGTCTTTTCCAAAATGTTTCTCTGAGCCTTTGGAGATGAGAAAGTGTGATTGTAAAGATGTTTGTGGTTCTTTGTGTTTACTGCAACATTTAAAGTCTGAAGATTCCCCTGATAGAATGCACCTATTTTGTCAAGGAGAAAATAAATATTTTCCTGAAAATTCTAAATAGTCTCCAAAAAACCCACACATATGACCAATTTTATGAAATGTTTGTATAGGTTAAAAGTATAATTTATACTGAGATAATCCTAAATTTTAAGAATAAAAAATAAATCCACAAACCTAAAACAAACAATAATACTCAACTATAAATATTTCATTATACGATAAGCATGTTTTAACATCCCATTCACTGTGCTAGTGGCAAACATAAACCCTATTTTTCCCGAGGTATTGCATATCAGATTTGATTCATTATCAAATGTAAGAGGCCACATCTTGGGTGATAGGTGCTTGAGCAGTTTTATCACAGGCCAGGAGGAAAGACTTCAACGACTTTTTGTTATCCTTTTTAGTAGTGTGCTGGGGAGTAGGGACAAAAAAGAGAAAAAAAAAGTTTGCTGAAAAGAGAAGTTAAAAGCAGCAAAGATATAATCAAACACAGCTGACCTTTTCTGAACGAGGGGAAAAAGAAGCAGTGAGACTTAGAATCTGGAAAAAAAAAATACAGTCATCCACTCTGGATGCTCAAGGTAGGAGGTCAGCCTTTTTCAAGCATCAGTGACACAAAAGCCTTTTGCAGAAAGACGGCACAGAAATGGTATGACAACTGCTAGGGTGTGCTGAATCTTCCCACATTCCTAGTGAGACAGATGGTGTTACATGGGACACAGGGAGGTTTGTTCAAACAGCAGCAACCTTCAAAGATCAAGCAGAGCCCAGCCCGCAGAGCGCCATTGAGGGACCAGCGCTCATATGTTGCTGAGTTGCATAAACAAACAGCAACAGCTGCTTTGTCTCCCCCCACAGCCCTCAGAGGACTACTATAAACTTTAGTTGTGCCACTGTTAATATGATACAATCATTTTAATTTACTAATTGTAAATGCCATGAGCAAATGAGGGGACTTTTCAACACCAAAGCTACCATTCATAATGCGCCAACACAATCACACTTCTGCATGTGAAATTTAAAGCAGTTATGCTAAATAAATTTCTAGGCACTTTTTTTTTTTCCTAGAGTTTTTGTGCATATGAGTAAGGGGAGGTAAACTGTTACCTAAGTCTTACTGTGCAAGCATATATACTTTTTTACAACTGAACTTTGAAACAAACATTCAGGTGACAAGCCCAATCAGACAGAAATGGAATTCTTTTAAAATAGGAAAATTCCATAATTCATTATTGTTACTATTGTTTGCTAATTCTCACTTTCCTTATTCCAAGAAAATAAAGGCCATAAGGGATTTTTTTTTTAAAGTAACAATTGTATATAGACAATCCTGTTTAATAATTTTAAAACAGCTATGGTACCAATGCTTATATAGGATGATTTCAGGTCTATAGTCCAGTTGTTTTGACTTAAGGCCCACCATTTCTGCTACCATCTCAACACATCATAAGGTCAGTTTGCAGAGTGAATTCTCCCAGGAAGATAAAAACAGTAGTTTTTCTAAAACATTTAAGGGGCACTGTGAATCAACCCCACTCAGTCATTTTAAGGTTTTCAGAAGCTATGCTTACCTTTTCAAGATAGTTTTTATTTTTAAGATGAGTGAGCCAAAGGAAGTAGAGCAATTTCAGCATTTAGCTACAATTATGCATACATAAAAGGAATTGTTTTTAATGTACATCTAAGATTTTAGTATTAATCCAGTTTATTTTTTATGTATGTACATATACATACACACACATATATACTTATATATTATATGCCTTTTCAATTTCCTTTAAAACATTGAATTAGATTTCATAAACTAGTAGCTGCAGCTTGTAAAAATACTCTTAAGTAATTGAAGGTGTTATAAGAGAAATGAAAGAAACACACACTTCTTTTACTATGACTTGGATCCTGTATGAAAAAAAATTTCTGAGTAAAACTAGGTGAAAAATGGAATTAAAATTGCTGAGATGTTTAATAATGTATAATTAAAATGCTACAATTTCATTCACTTTTTGTGGAACATAAAAATGAAACTAAAGTCAAGTTAAAGTGCAAATAAAATTTCTAAATTAGAAATTAACACACTCATTCGATCGTGAACATAAGACTATTAAATCATATTAGAAGAGACCATCAAAAAATCATTTAGACCTCAATTAAAGCTATTACCATTCAAAGATCTGCATCTTCAAAATGCCATGAAAAATTAATAATGATTGCCAATCAAAGCAATATCGTTTCTCTAAGGGGTTATTATAGAAAGAAATCACTTAAAACCAGCCCCCCACCTGATCTGTCCCTGGCTTGTGCGTCACCATATGCCTCTCGAGCTGGGTGCGGTAGGCAAACGTGTAGCTACAAAGAGGGCAAGAAAAGTTCTCTTCATTCTTCTCGTGGCGGTACTTGATGTGCTCCTTCAGTGATGTCAAGCGCTTGTAGCCCCGGTCGCAGTAGGGGCAGGTCAGCAGTTGGGCAAAAGCATCTGGAGTTCCAGGTGGCAGGTCTGTAGCCGAGAGACGAGAGAGAGAGAGAGAGAGAGAGAGAGAGAGAGAGAGAGAGAGAAGCAGGCCAAAAGGTCAGTAAATCAATGGCAGCTAATGGGCTGACTGCCCGGGATGGTATGACAGGAATCACTGCAGTCTGCTCCACTGGAGTGCCATCATTGCACTCGGCCTCCGTGCACACCAGTCCCCTCACATACCCAGGACAGACGTGCAGGAATCAGTTCACACTGCGCTGGAAGATTAATTAATTTACTCGAGGTTTTTTGGGAAGAAATTGAAAGAGCTGATAAATGAAGCGATTCCTTTAAGATGGCCGGCGGTTTGCATTAAACTTTTAGTTACATATTACTCAGAAACTTACAGGTACAGGTGAAGAACAACAAAAGGTTAGGGTCAGGATTTCTAAACTTTTTTCTTTCTCCAAAGTAAAATATTTCGGAAGGATAGGAATACATTCAGATATTTTTATCTCTTAGAAATAGGCTCTAATTGTACTTGTTCTTATTGGATGTACAAATGACACAAATTTGCTGACAAAAAAATTCACAATACCCTAAAATTACAGTTCTAATCTTTGCTCATGAAATTCCATGCCTCTGCAGCTGTTCTTCAAATTTTAAGGTAAACACCCAGGCATGTAGTGCATTTGTAATTGTAACAGCTGCAGAGGTCAGTGTAGTGGCTAAAAATGAATTACAGCCTCACCATTTTCTTCTTGCCCATTGGCTTCTGGAGTGCCAAGGCGAGACAGTTCCTCGGGGGCTTCTGGGTAAATAATGGCTGTATCGCTGCGCTGAAGGTACTCCTCGATGCTAACTGCATGGCTATCACGTTCTTCCAGTTTTCTTTTGGCAAAGTATTCTTCAAAGTCTGAGGTGCAATTTGCATTCTTAACTGAAATCATAAAAAGAGAAGAACCATTTTTTTCAGGGTCTTCTTTCTAGGAGCCCAAGTCCATGTGCATTGTTGTTAGCAAGATATACTGACTTGCAATAAGACTACAAATACCTAGTTATTTGTGACAGGTGTCGCAGATGAGCAGTTACTGATGAAATGCTTATTTTGGGCTATAATATATGCAACAAAATAGGACACTTTGCTTTAAGGTAAATGAACCAAAAAACCAAACCCAATGCCATCCAGTCGATTCTGACTCATAGCAACCCCCATTGGGTTTCCCAGGTGGTAAATCTTTACAGAAGTAGATTGCCCAGTCTCGCTTCTGCAGAGTGGCTGGTAAGTTTGAACCACCAACCCTCTGGTTAGCAGTCAGATGCCTTAGTCATTGTGCTACCAGAACTCCTTTAAGGTAAATTGTTGTTGTTGTTGGTGGTGTTGTGTGCCGTCGAGTCGGTCCCGACTCATAGCGACCCCTCCTTGGGTTGCCGAGGCAGTATCACTACGGAAGTAGATTGCCCAACCTTCCTTCTGAGGAGTGGCTGGGGGGTTTGAACCTCCAGCCTTCTGGTTAGCAACCAAGTGCCTTAGGCACTATGCTACCAGAGCTCCAAGAGACTGCCCAGCTACCTGGCAGGGAGCGGCTGGTGGGTTTGAACCACCAGCCTTGGGCCTGTTTTATATACTTCTTCCTGGACTGTTAATCTGCATTATTTGCAAAGAATGAAATAGGTTTTTTTTTTTTTAATTTAGTGAAAAATTTTAAAAATGGGACAAAATTCTAATGTCCATATACATGAGAGGTAATATGAACTCAAAGCTACTTTAATAACCTATATAAAACTTCTTTTCCCTTTAAGAAAGACATATTTAATTTTTTTTATGGTCCACTAATTTAACGTTCCTGACCACAGAAACATCCTGTTGCTAAATATATGCTTTTAACCATCCACTCTCTCAATATCACAGACAGCACAGCAGGAACTATATTGTCTGAGACAGATGCTAAAGGATAGATATTCCTAGAGATGCTGATGCGACTTTGTTAAAAAATCACGGATTCTAAAATATATAGGAAACTTCAACAACTCAACAACAGAAAGACAAACACTCTAGTCAAAAACTGGGCCAAGGACATGAACAGACACTTCACCAAAGAGGATATTCAAACGGCCAACATATACATGAATGATGCTTGCGATCATTAGCCATTACTCGCTACCGTCAAGTCGATTTCAACTCATAGTAACCAGATAAGACAGAGTAGAACTGCCCTATTAAGATTCCCAAGGCTGTAACTCTTTAAGCAAGCAGACTGCCACAACATTCTCCTGTGAAGTGGCTGATGGATTTGAACCGCCGGCCTTTCAGTTAGCAGCCAAGGGCCTTAACCCCTGGAGGACCAGGGCTCCTCATTGTTGTTGTGTTGTTATGTGCCATCGAGTCAGACCTGACTTATAGTGACCCCTCCTTGGGTTTCCGAGGCAGTATCACTATGGAAGTACATTGCCCCATCTTCCTTCTGAGGAGTGGCTGGTGGGTTTGAACCACCAGCCTTCTGGTTAGCAGTCAAGTGCCTTAGCCACTATGCTACCAGAGCTCCCATTAGTGAGTGGCAAATCAAAACTAAAATGAGATACCATCTCACCCCTGCAAAAATGGCAATGATCAAAATCACAGAAACAACAAATGCTGGTGAGGTTGTGGGGGAGATTGGAACTCTCCCCACATTGCTGGTGGGATTGTAAAATGTACAATAACTACACAAAGCAGTATGGCACTTCCTCCAAAAGCTAGAAAGAAATATATGCTATGATCCAACAATCGTATGCCTAGGTATATACCCTAGAGACCTAGTAGAAATGACACGAACAGACATATGCACACCTATATTCATTGTAGCACTATTCACAATAGCAAGAATATGGAAAAAATTTAAGTGCCTTTCAATGGATGAATAGATAAGCAAAATGTGGTACATACATGCAAAGGAATACTACACAGTCACAACAAATAATGATGAGTTCTCCAAACATCTTACAACATGGATGAATTTGGAGAACATTATGCTGAGTGAAATAAGTCAATCCACTATTATCAAGAGTAGATGTACATATGGAAAACAATGTTTTTTGATGGTTATTAAGGATTGGAGGGAGAAGAAGGGGGAAATAATTCCAGATAGTAGACATTTGTAATTTTTAGTGATGGGAAAGTTGGTATCAAATATGGGTAAAGACGCACAACTTGACCAAGGTAAGTAAAGACACTAAGAAGTACAACAGAAAAAGGCAGAATTTTAGTGAATGCTATACCATATACAATTTTACAATAACAATAAATCAACCAAAAATATGTGTATGAATAGGTAGGTAGATACATAGGCATATATGTTTATAGCAGGCATATGAGAGAATAGGTATGTGCATGTATTGTGTCTATGGGCAAATGTCTATACATGTTTGTGTGTGGTGCATGTATGTACATATATATAACAAAGTACCCAGAGGGCACAGTTAACTGACATTTAAACAACTCACAGGATTGGTTTACTGGGTTAAAAGGCCATATGTGAGGGGGACAACTTAATCAGCATAACATAATTCATAAAGATAATGTTCTTTATGAACATTTGTTTAATGAGTAGTGTTTGGAGTCTTAAAAGCTTGGAAGTGGCCATCTAAATACAACTATTGGTTTCTACTCCTATAAAGCAGAACCACAGCCTCTTGTAACCAGAGATCAGATGAACTAGATGGTACCCGGCCACCACTACTGACTATTCTGACCAGGGACACAATAGAAAGTCTTGCATAGAATGGGAGTAAAATGTAGAACAAAATTCAAATTTCTAAAAAAGAGCCAGAACTGTTGGGCCGACAGAGACTGGAGGAACCACCAGTAACTATTGCCTTAAGATATCTTAGAATTTGGAACAGAAACTATTTCTGGAGATCATCTTTCAGGCAAATGATAGATTGGCTTATAAAATAAACATATCACCTGTGAGTAAGGTGTTCCCTTAAACAATCAGCTATAAGAGACCAGTAAACATTTACCCAGAAGCAAAGATGCGAAGGCAAGGAGGAAAGGGAAGCTAGATCAATAAAAACAGAACACACACAATGGAAATAATGGGAATGCTGACACATTATAAAAACTGTAACCGATATCATGGACCAATTTGTATAAAAATTATTGAATGGGAACTCAATTTGCTCTGTAAACTTTCACCTAAAACAGAATAAAATACAGTTTTTTTTTTAAATTGTGGAATATGGGACTTTATCTTTATTATTTCAATATTTAGCTCAATATTTTAAAGCTTCTAACAATTAAATTAAGCTTACAGCCAATAGAAATAAAAAGTAACACCAAGAATAAGAAACTGGGATACTGCTATGTGATTTTGATATGATTTTAATTTTTGTTATTATGACTCTATTCCCATTAAATGAATAATAGTTATAAACCAATCATTTGTGTCACAAGATTTTGTATACTGGGAAACTTAGATGTGTTTCTGAAATAAGCTGTGGCTTAAATATCGTTAAAATTTTTTTTTGTCTATAAAACAGAGTTGGGACAGTAGCTGTTATGTTTTTCTCTATCCTAGCCAGGTGGAAAAAAAAAGTAATTTGCTAGTAGAAGAAATGGTGGAGTTCTACTTTCATAGTTTATGAGAGCAGTCATAACCTTGGTTCCACTATATTCTTTACCTCATCTTTTCTGCCATATAAGGTATTACAATATTGCCATACTAATATTACTTGGCTAATTGTGGCAGGGTGGTATTTGAGTAAGTCAGTCCATTTTTCTTTCTGGCGTTCATTGTTATGAACTTGTAGATTACAGATGAGAAGCATAGAAATTGGAACCATTATTTCAACAAGAATGCCTGGTATATGATAGGCATCGCGTCTTGTTCTAGTAAGCAAAAACAGAAATAAAAACAGATTTATTCTTTTCCTTTAGGAAACCATGAGAGAGATCAACACAATGGATATTATCTCAAAAATAAATATGTCATTACAAACTCAAATAAGTGTTATGAAAGAAAGTGATAGGAGGACCTGATGGAGTCTAGAAGACCAAGGAAGCTTTAATTGAGGAATCATGGAGTTAAATAATTTTAGAAACTGGGGAAGAGCAGCATGTGCAAAGATGTTGTCACTGGAAGAAGCCTGGTACATTTCAGGATCTAAAAGGATAGCACTAGGGTGCAGAAAGTGAAAGGAGAACAACATAGTGTAATGGTGGAGAGGCAGGCAGGGATCAGAGCATGCACACAGCGCAATCACTCTGTGAGGACTTGGGTCTATACTCTAAGAAAAACATGAAGGGTTGAAAAGTATTAAGCAAAAAGGATGGCTGGATGAAATTATGACTGTTTTTACTTTTAAAAGATGACTTTGGCTGTAGTGTGGAGTAGGGACTAGAAGAACAGAAAAGTGAGGTCTGGGAAACCAGTGAGGAGGCTTTTGCCATGAGTCAGGCAAAAAAGTTAACAAATTAATGATAGAGATGAACAAAAGCGGATGGGTTTGAGAGATACTTAAGAAGTACAGTCTCTGGATTTGGGAAATGATTGGTTGTGCCAAGGAGGGAGATGCCAAGATCTTCCCTTGGGCTCAGGTTTTCAGAATTTGATGGATTTTAGGTAACATTCACCAAAGCAAGGAACATTGGAATTCTAAAAAGACTTGAAACTATGAACAAATCCATTGGATCAAAGAAAAGGAAACTAGGGAGAATTATACTTTGTAGACTATTAAACTAAGTGCTAATAATCCTGAATGCTGTGATCTCAAATTTTTCTCTTTTGCCTTCTAATTTCTGTTAATTTAACAAGAACAATAGTTTGATTCCAAGACCTGTATTTTCCCCAAAAATATGTTTAAAATGTGCAGTAACAGATTAAGCTTTTATATATCATCTTGAAAATATGCTTAAGTCTTTTCTTACGTGGATTTAATACAAGAATATGAACAACTTGT